TTCAGCGCCGTCGTCGAGTAGCCTTTTGTAAGAATAGACCGTTTTGCAAAGATTGCAAGTAGCCCTGGTCTTCACTGCATCGCGGGAGAAAACTTCCAAACGACTGAGCGTAACTATTTACTTTCACTCGAATGGAGAGGTGACCGAAGCATATCCTGCGACAGGTCAGCAGATGCGGAACAAGACATCATATCAGTAGAGTCCACCAAAGCTGCAACGACAACTGAAACAGCTCAAGTGTCGTGCAGGCATACAGTCACTGTAACTGCGAGTGATTTTCACTTTGCGCGGGACTGGACTCTCGATCGACCAGGGAGTCGTAAAATATTTCACGACTCCCCGGTCGACATGTACTGCCATGTGTACGGAGTACGGTGTACGGTGTTTGTTAGTGCAAACGAGCTGGCCGCACAAACGAGCCGAGTTTCTGGCGAGCGAGCTAACGAGTATCCGGTGAGATCGTTTCAACATTATACATTTCATTTACTCTTCTGCATGCTCTTCATCATTTTGTTGGAACTAGGTCTGCGGACCTGGTGAGAAGGCAGAAATACCTGTTCACTTGGTGAAGTAAAAAATATATAAAATAAAATGAACAAACAAACAAAGTTCACCATGACATGTGATGATGATAATGATGACAGCATATCACATGCAGTGCGTCCTCCACCTTTTCTCATCTGTTGTATTCGTCTTAGAATAGTATGGTGTGGTCGAGTGGGCTCGGCTGCAAATTGAGAAGTGCAGCTGAAATTTCAAGGGGAGCGATAAAAAAAATTAGGGCTGAGTCGGGTAGCATTTTCTTCGGGTACAGGTCGTCCCTCGTTAATACATAATGTCTGGGACTTGACAAATGTTATGTATTAACGGGGTTTATGTACTAAACGAAAGTGTACATAACTTGCTTGTGTACCAGAATTTTTCACTTTTTTCAACTTTTCTGAGTGTTTCTTGCTACCATGAATAGGCACCGAGATATTCTTGATTCCCTCGATAGAACATAAAAATTATGTTATAACGGTCAGAGTTAGCGAAGATTCTACAGTTTACATGATACATGCCCAGCCGTGCCTGTACAGTCACTCGGAAAAAACAGAGCTTTGTAGGTTGTGATGTGCGCTCTGATTTCTGAGTCAATTGCGTCCACAAGTAGAAACTAGAACACGATGTGCCTCCACTGGAAGGCCAAAAGACCAATAAATTATGTACTATTGAGGTAGGTGACATGCGGGTACGGAGAAATGTTATGTACTAACGGGGTTTATGTACTAACGAATTATGTACTAACCGACAAAATTTGTATGGAAGTGACCACGTTTCGTCCGGGACTTGAGATTTCTTATGTACTAACGGGGTTTATGTACTAACCGGACTCGTATTAACGGGGGACGACCTGTATCGGGTTCTGGTAGTTTTCCACGGGTAGCATGGGTACCCGATCGGGTAACGTTTCCATGGTAACACCACAACGCCCTCCTTACCTTACACACTGGGTAGACATGCGGAGTCTTTACATGGATTTGTACACGTGCACTGTACATGATGTCATGTGCGACTTCGGGTTTTCGGGTACCATTCTGTACCCGTCTACCCGAGGTCCTCACGGGTAGCACGGGTGCCCGACTACCCGTGCACACCACTAAAAAAATCCACTCTGAATGACTAATAAAGAGGAGCAAGCAGAGCGAGGGCGATCTCACTTTACCAGGTTGTCTGGACCAGCGGAGGGAACAACAGAGGTGTTGTTCCAACACTTGCATGCCAGTTGTTGTAAGCTATGTTGTTAACAGTGGTTGTTGTAGGGTATAGAGGAGGGCCGTTAGAAGATATTTTAGTGCGGTTCGGTCAGCCATCTGAAGTACAATTTACTCGTGGGGAGGGGTTGCTGAGATTTTGGAAATTTAGAGCCCAGATCAGTGTATTTTATTGATTCATGGGTACCTGGGGCAAGTAGTGGTACGGTCAATACCGTACGTAGTGACCGTACCGTGTTCGACGCCCCTGTACAGTATGTTTTTGCTGCCTTTTCATCTGTACTTACTTGTCCGTGGTGCACCAGATTAGGGAGAGAAACCACCACGTTGGCAGAAATTGCTATGTTTTTTTTTCTTCATTCTCCTTGATGTACTTTGTGGCAGTGTTGGCGAGGTCACACTTCAGTTCCATATGACGGGTGCAAGATGGGATACCTACGCATGTGGAATATTGTCACGCAGCGACGCATATTTTTCTTCATTCCGCACCGGGGTGGAAGTGGCTATTACACGTAAGACAGCTGTTTGTCAGTCTTGTGTTTTTGCTTTGATGGTGATACTTGCAGACATATTCGAGTTGCTGTAACAGGCAAAACAATCCATAGCCAGCAATCGCATGTCATCACGTACATTGAAAATCAACATAATTTTGCCAATCGACCTTTTTTTCAGGATCACTTTTCAACGAGGACGAAGCAAAGTCGGCCGAACGAAGCCTAGAGGAAGAAAATCACCCTTTCCACTTCACTATCACAAAACTGACATAGATACGAGATGAAACAACTAAAAAATCCACAAGAAAACTGTACGGCCATCATCGCGCTGACTTTGGTCTGACTTTGGTCTGAGAATTTCTATCACGATCAAAAATGTACGAGGAGCACTCAAAAATAAGCCACAGACGTACCTTTATTGCTCTCTTCTTCTTTTTCAAGGCACAAAAGTTGACTCTCCACTTTCAAACCAGGAACCAGACATACCAGTGGTCCTTTTCAGCTGCTCCACGAGCGCAGGCGTCAGGCGAAATTACTGGTCAGTCGGTGACACGCATTTTTCACAAAAAATTGCGTTTCACCTGCTGGGAGTGTTATAAAATGGTCACTGATCTTGAGCATTGTGATTACATTTCACTTCTCTCTGCCATTCATGTCTTCCTACTCTATGACTGTGACTTTGTCTCTCCAGTCTTGATAATGTATTTTTTCGTACTCTTGATATTTTTATGTCAGATTAATTATTTCTGTCACTACGTAATCTATGACGTCGGTGACAATCACAGTTCAGTTTTTTTGTTCTTCTGATGCACGAACGCGCGCATCGACAGCAGTGAAGTCAGCGAGGTCTTGGTCTGGCTTGTGGTTGTTCTTGAATCTTGAGTCTTCCGACAGTTCTGATTTTTCCTTGTCTCAACCTAGTACCTTTATACATTCTTAATACCGCGATAGTAGATTATTTTATTTCCTGTAGTTGCTGTGGCCTGATGTTGTGTGGAGCCTGTGCACGTGAAGAATAATTCTACTACAGCGACCTGGTGCCGAAACCCGGGAGTTTGATTCGGAGAATGTCGATAAAGTTAGATTCGTTCCTGAGGGCCTTCAAGGGCACGCCAGGAGAGAGCTTCCCTGAATTTTGGGAAAAGTTCAGAGTACTATGCACTGTTCAAGGATGGACCTCGGACACGGATAAGATGAAACATTTTCCGCTGTTCTTGTCCGGCGATGCCTTCCTAGTATACGATGGGATGGAGGATTCCAGTAAACAGAAGCCAGCTGACGTGAAAGCGAAATTCGAAGAAGCGTTCTGTGTTTCGAAATCAGAAGCCTACAGACTGTTCGTGCAGCGTAGGTTACGGACGGATGAATCTGCAGACGCATTTGCGGCAGACTTGCAACGCCTGGCCAAGATTGCAGGGAACAGTGGTGGCAGAGATGACCCCATGGTAGTCGAACAGTTCATTGCGGGTCTGCCTAGTGACTTTCCAAAACAAGTGCGATTATCTTTTGCCGGTGAGGAAATTAAGATGGCCGCACTTTTGAGCAAGGTGCGAGCACTACGCCAATCTGATCTGCCCCAAGCTCCAAGCATTGCAGCAGCAGCGGCGGCTCCTGGCAGCAGTACCACCAAATCCAGTGTGATGTGCCATCACTGTCAGGAAGTGGGCCACATTCGTAGATTCTGCCCTAAGCGGCAGACGAGAGATGGATCCAGAAGGAGCAATGTGATTTGCTCGTTTTGCGAGCGCCCTGGCCACACTAGAGCAGACTGTCGCGATCGAACGGAGTGGGAGGCCTCCAAGAAAGGCAAGGCAGCTGCTGTCAAGGACGGTGGAAAGCGGAGGAACCATGTGCTCTGCACAATGAACCAAACCACCAGCGGGTCCCTGGTCCGGATGTTTCTCGATATTCGTCCGTCTGACGCAGCGCCGTGGGAACGTATCGTATCTGTCGTCGATACTGGATCCACCCATACACTAATCGATTTGGCATGTGCCCGCCGACTTCAGCTGCCAATCGTACCCGACAAGAGTGACAGTCTTGTGGCACTGGATGGCCAGCCCTTGAAGATTCACGGGCGCACCTCGCTACAACTGCAGCGCCTGGACGATGCTGTTATGCTACCTGCCATTGGGGCCACAGTCCATGTGGTTGACAGCTTGGAGGCCATTCAGGCAGAGTTCCTGATTGGAGCAGACGTCATCGCCGCCTCGTCTGGTCTCCAGCTTCGCTATGATGACGACAATGTGCTGAGCGGTATTGTGTTCGGTCCCGGCAAGCCGCCACGTGGCGTGACCGCTGCAGCAGATCTTCCACATCCGTCGCCGTATGTCAGTGTATCCCGTGATGGCCATGATACCATACTAACCCTACCTGATGGCGAGGCGCGATGGCTGGCTGATAAGAAGTACTGGCAAGTGAAGTGGACATGGAAGGACGGCTTACCTCCAAATGGCCCGGTTGGTCATGGCATTGGAGAATATTCCCGTAACAAGCTCTCCGCAGACCAGGAACAATTGTTCCAGGATGCCATCAAGCAATGGATTGATGATGACTGGCTTGTGCCGCACGATCCGAAGATACATGGTGAACCAGCTGCAGTACTGCCTCTGTTGGCACAAGTCCAAGAGCACAAGACCTCCACCCCCGTACGACCGTGCCTTGACTATCGTCTACTCAATGATCGACTCAAGTCACAACCAGGACAAGAGGCTCCAGTATGTGCTGATACGCTCCGGAAATGGAGGCGTGATGGCAAGCCTGAGGACTTCTGCCTCCTCGACATCAAGAAAGCCTACCTACAAGTACGCGTTGTTCCCGAGCTACAGCGCTACCAGACCGTGGTGTGGCAGGGCCGTGCCTATGCGATGACGAGAATGGGATTCGGCCTCAACATCGCCCCTAAGATTATGACAGCCATTGTCCAGTGGGTGACCCGATCGTTTCCAGCCGTCGATAGCTACATCGACGATATCCGAAGCCCGAATGCCTGCTCCGATGCCGTAGCAGCCAAGTTGTTGGAGTATGGACTGCCGACAAAGCCTGCCGAGCCGTTGGTTGCTACAAGAGTATTGGGCTTGCAACTACACCAAGATGACGACGGAAGTACGTACTGGTCTCGTCGACCTGGGTTGGACGTATCCCTTCCTGAGAACCTGACACGACGCACCTTGGCAAGCTGGTGTGGCAAGCTGACCGGGCACGTACCCTTGTGCGGGTGGTTACGGCCGTATTGCAGTTATTTGAAGAGGATGGTTGAGCCACACGCGTCGTGGGACCAGCCACTATCCGACACGCTCGTTCAGTGCTGCAAGGAGCTGGCTTCCAGGCTTAGCGCTAATGGTGATCCTGCGCATGGCGTCTGGCATGTCCCTAACCCTGTCGAGTGCACGCTGTATGTCGATGCCTCTGACGTGAGCTATGGTGCTGTGCTAATGGTGGATGGCAAGAAGATCGAAGATAGATCGTGGCTGCGGCAGCATGACGATAAACGCCATATCAACGTCGCCGAACTAGACGCAGCGATCAAGGGCTTGAACCTGGCTATCAATTGGCAGTTCAAGCAAGTGCGTCTCGTAACAGACTCGAAGGCTGTTGCTGCCTGGATCGACACCATCGCCAACAACGTACGCAGAGTCAGGACGAGTGGCCTTTACGATGTACTCGTACAGCGACGTTTGCAGATCATTGCAGACCTGATGGTCACCACTGAAACCAGAGTGGAGGTAGACTGGATCCCGTCCGAGCAGAATCCTGCCGACGCACTAACACGTGTCCCGGCTACCTGGGTCAAGCTTTACCGAGCATCGAAGAATCCACCTAGCAATGGTGTCACAGCAGCTGCAACGCCTCGAGCAAGTGTTATCGGTCCCGTGACGCTAGAGAGTATCAAGGCATCACAGCTGAAAGATGACGTAGTCCAAGCAGTGATACATGGTATACAGCATGATCTGCCTGTCGATGAGTCCTACGCAAGAGTTCGCTCTCAGCTGGTGGTGGAAGATGGCGTCCTGTATCGCAGCCTCAAGCTGCCACTAGACGGCGTTAAACAAGTCCCTGTTATCCCAGCTGCTCTCGTACGGAAAGTGTTGTATGTAACGCATACCAACTCAGGACATGCGTCATGGTCGACTATGTATGAGATGATCCGCAGTCGATGTTATTTCCCGAAGATCGCTGCTGCTTGTGAAGCGTATGTTGCGAATTGCGGGCAGTGTGTAGCAGCTAACCCAAGCAGAGCACCCGCTATTGCAGCTACTCGCCCTGATATTCCTTGCCGCCCATGGTCCGAAGTTGTCATCGATACCCTGGAGTTGGGTTCGGATGGCACGAATGATTACCACTGTGTACTGATGTGTGTGGATGCATTCACGAAGTGGATTGAAGTGGTACCCCTTCGTCGTCATGATGCTGCTTCAGTCGCCAGTGCATTTGTGCAGGTCTGCCAGATGTGGGGTGCCCCTGATGTTGTGCGATGTGACAATGGAACAGAGTTCGCGAATGCAGTCGTCGAGTCACTCTTTCAGTCACTTGGAGTCCGAGTACGCACAGGTGCTGTGAGACACCCACAATCCCAAGGCGCAGCGGAGAGGGCAAACCGCACCCTGATTGGATTGATCCGGAAGGTCCTTGAATACTCATCCGACTGGAAGTCTGATCTCCGTACCCTGCTCTTCTACTATCGTAACAGACCCCACTCGGCAACCCATCTATCGCCAATGGAAGCCATGGTCGGATGGCAGCCAGCAAGGTTCATTGTTGAGTCACCCATTGCCAACGGCACGATGTCTGCAAGTGCATGGGTAGACAAGCTTGCACAGAGATCCGCGGCTATCCGCGATCTGATTGAAGAAGAGTTATCGAGCGGCGATAGTCCTGATGTTAACGTACTATGCCTGTATAGTCCTGGCGATGCAGTGATGTTGCGACGTCCTGAACGACGGCAGAAACGTTCTGCACCATACGAGCGTGGCTGGCGTGTTCGTGACATCGTCAGTGCATCCACTGTCGTCATTCGTCATCAAACCTCTGGAGCTGAGAAGACTGTGAACGTCGATCTCCTCAAGCGAGATTCCAATGGCTCCGAAGATGGTGCTTGTTTGGATGCCAATGTCGAGCAGCATGACAACGATCCTGAGACTGATATGGCTATGAGCGTCGACTTCGACCCACCAACTGCCACTGATGATGAGCCCGCTCGCAACCTCCGAAGCAGAGCTGACCTGCAACGCCCTGCTCGCTACAATGACTAGCCATTGTCAGTGAACATGTTATCAGGGGGACAGGTGTTATAAAATGGTCACTGATCTTGAGCATTGTGATTACATTTCACTTCTCTCTGCCATTCATGTCTTCCTACTCTATGACTGTGACTTTGTCTCTCCAGTCTTGATAATGTATTTTTTCGTACTCTTGATATTTTTATGTCAGATTAATTATTTCTGTCACTACGTAATCTATGACGTCGGTGACAATCACAGTTCAGTTTTTTTGTTCTTCTGATGCACGAACGCGCGCATCGACAGCAGTGAAGTCAGCGAGGTCTTGGTCTGGCTTGTGGTTGTTCTTGAATCTTGAGTCTTCCGACAGTTCTGATTTTTCCTTGTCTCAACCTAGTACCTTTATACATTCTTAATACCGCGATAGTAGATTATTTTATTTCCTGTAGTTGCTGTGGCCTGATGTTGTGTGGAGCCTGTGCACGTGAAGAATAATTCTACTACAGGAGAGTATGCGTGTACTCGAGTCTCATCCTGAGCACATTTTTCTTCTTCTTTTTTTCAGCTCCAGTATAGCTGTATTTTCATTGCAAAGCCGTCCTCGATTGTTGTGTTCGTTGTTCAAACGAAGTGGACATTCAATCATGAAGGCAGAGGACATAGGAGCCTAATTGGAGTTTCTCGTTGCATAGGACGGCCACACAGAGACACTTTGGGATTTTCTGAATATAAAATACCGTACGCACGATGCTGAGATCAATTTGTGCGATATCAAATTGTTTGTGATCTACCACATCGAGCAGAACGGGATCCAAACACAAGCTTACCAACGGTTAGGATGCCGACCTGACTGGACAAATGATCCCTGGCTTCACCAGACGCCAGAAGTCGGACACCATGTCCTTTGCCGTGACGTCCATCTCCAAAAAGAACTCCATTTTCGTCGTGAAAAGGCTTGAAATACTCAATATTCAACCGAGATTCGCGGTCTCACCCTTTCTCAGATCGAATCATTTTTTGTTGTAGCAGTTGCAGGGCAGATCCCCGCCACTACTTCAACAGAAGATGGCTCCAAAGCATGCCTGGAACAAGCCATATCGAGGTTGCAAGCCACCCCTCTCAGCACTTTTTTTGAAGAAATTCGAAATTTCAATGGTGGAAGATATACTATGAAGAGAATTTCAAAAAGTATGTTTCGCGGAGCGATCGCTCAACCTACGTCATTCAAACTTTGCAGGATGGTTCAGACGTACATGCTAGGTATGGAATCACAGAAGATGATATCATAGCTGACACACAGAGTCACACACACAGCAGATTCGTGTGCACAGATACTAAATTAGTGGACGTCGTCATCTTCTTCCCGCTGATCTCAATTGTACTATGACGTGCTATTTCGCCTGACGAAATGTTCACCAAGGGGCGCAGAGCAGCATCCATTCCAGAAAAAGAGCTAAAATACGAGCGAGACTGCATGACTGAGTACATGAGTACATGTATGAGTACATGCAGAAAATAGTCAATTTCAGCGTTTCTGCTCCAAACAGCAACTAGCTTTGAATAGAAACAAAGATTACACCAAAGGATCAAACAACAACCATTTTCTGCAGTTTTTTTGCAGATGGCTTCCTTGTGCTTGGCCCAGCACGCCAAAAATCACACCTCGGAGGAGTACAAATATTACAACTCTCAGATGTCCTCGATTGCTGGCCATGCAATGTTTCCACGCACAGGCCCACACTGCTGTTATCATAGACCTGGTCCTGGCCACAGCATCCTAGGTACGAGGGTGCGCACTCCGCCTGGAGGAAATTTGAATTTTTGATTTTCGCAGCAGCAGTTTTTCGCTGACACAGGTCACCTTCTTGCATTTCCAGGACTGGTCTACGCATGATAGAAGAACAAGAGCCGCATACAGTGAGTGACCTCAACATGATGGACCACACCAGCAAATTTGAAGACAATTGATGGAGGTTGAGCCGAGTTCTAACACGATCTGTTGAAACAACTTCATCTCACTCGTCAACATGATTGAGTAGCATCTCCTTTCCTTCCTGTTCCAGAAGTTATTTTTCGTGTTTGTGGGTTTCTCATCGGACCTCAGGTCTTTCTCGATCGATTGTCACCCTACTCGATCCATACGAAACCTAAACTACCGAAAAGAAGTCAGATCATACACGTTGTGGTGGAGGATGTGCCGAGCGAAGTACAGTAAAACCTGTAACTAATAAAGACCACCGTGACTAGCGACCAGCCTGGTACTAAAGACCACTTCGCCGGGCACGGGCGGTCTCACATTCATAATGGTTGTGCGGTGCAAACCTCTAATTAAGGACCACCTGCCACTAAAGACCGCTTTTTCTGGCCCCAAGGGGTGGTCGTTAGTCACAGGTTTCACTGTAACTGGCATCCTCATGATCATGTGCATGAGGATGGCACAGCTGTATGGATAGTATGTACTACCATTGAGCAATCCTTGCATAATTGAAGTTGGCCGTGTGCTGAGAATCAGGAAATCCTTGCATAATTGAAGTTGGCCGTGTGCTGAGAATCAGGAAATCCTTGCATAATTGAAGTTGGCTGTGTGCTGAGAATCAGGAAATCCTTGCATAATTGAAGTTGGCCGTGTGCTGAGAATCAGGAAATCATTGCATAATTGAAGTTGGCTGTGTGCTGAGAATCAGGAAATCCTCGCATAATTGAAGTTGGCCGTGTGCTGAGAATCAGGAAATCCTTGCATAATTGAAGTTGGCGGTGTGCTGAGAATCAGGAAATCCTTGCATAATTGAAGTTGGCGGTGTTCCCGAGAATCAGGAAATCCTTGCATAATTGACATAGCCAGCAATCGCATGTCATCACGTACATTCAAAATCAACATAATTTTTCGAATCGACCTTTTTTTCAGGATCACTTTTCAACGAGGACGAAGCAAAGCCGGCCGAACGAAGCCTAGAGGAAGAAAATCACCCTCTCCACTTCACCATCACGATACTGACATAGATACGAGATGAAACAACTAAAAAATCCACAAGAAAACAGTACGGCCATCATCGCGCTGACTTTGGTCTGACTTTGGTCTGAGAATTTCTATCACGATCAAAAATGTACGAGGAGCACTCAAAAATAAGCCACAGACGTACCGTATTTTACCGGTTGTAAGTCGACCCCGGTTATAAGTCGACCCCCCTATCTGGAGGTCTCAATTCTGCGTTTTAAAGTTTTCACCCAAAGAAGCACTACTAACCACCTCCTGCTACTAACACATCAACAAATCATGTAAACATTCCTTATTGGAGGATATAACGTCCCAATCCTTGAAAAAGGCCAATAAACTGGCAAAAATGTATAAACATGGTGCACTCGTGCATGCAGTGCAGGTCATTTTTTGTAAGATACTGATAGTTCCCGGTTATAAGTCGAATCCCGGTTGTAAGTCGACCCCCACCCTTTCTCCTTCTATTTTAAGTCGTAAAAGGTCGACTTACAACCGGAAAAATACGGTACCTTTATCGCTCTCTACTCCTTTTTCAAGGCACAAAAGTCGACTCTCCACTTCCAAACCAGGAACCAGACATATCAGTGGTCCTTTTCAGCTGCTCCACGAGCGCAGGAAATGTTCACCAAGGGGCGCAGAGCAGCATCCATTCCAGAAAAAGAGCTAAAATACGAGTGAGACTGCATGACTGAGTACATGAGTACATGTATGAGTACATGCAGAAAATAGTCAATTTCAGCGTTTCTGCTCCAAACAGCAACTAGCTTCGACTAGAAACAAAGATTACACCAAAGAATCAAACAACAACCATTTTCTGCAGTTTTTTTGTAGATGGCTTCCTTGTGCTTGGCCCAGCACGCCAAAAATCACACCTCGGAGGAGTACAAAAATTACAACTCTCAGATGTCCTCGATTGCTGGCCATGAGTTGGCCGTGTGCTGAGAATCAGGAAATCCTTGCATAATTGAAGTTGGCCGTGTGCTGAGAATCAGGAAATCCTTGCATAATTGAAGTTGGCCGTGTGCTGAGAATCAGGAAATCCTTGCATAATTGAAGTTGGCCGTGTGCTGAGAATCAGGAAATCCTTGCATAATTGAAGTTGGCCGTGTGCTGAGAATCAGGAAATCCTTGCATAATTGAAGTTGGCTGTGTGCTGAGAATCAGGAAATCCTTGCATAATTGAAGTTGGCCGTGTGCTGAGAATCAGGAAATCCTCACATAATTGAAGTTGGCCGTGTGCTGAGAATCAGGAAATCCTTGCATATTTGAAGTTGGCCGTGTGCTGAGAATCAGGAAATCATCGCATAACTGAAGTTAGCCATGAGCTGATAATCAGGAAATCTTCGCAGAATTGAAGTTAGCCATGTGCTGAGAATCAGGAAATCCTCGCACAATTGACATTAGCCGAGTGCTGAGAATCAGGAAATCCTCGCACAATTGAAGTTGGCCGTGTGCTGAGAATCAGGAATTCCTCGCATAATCGAAGGCTTTTCCACAGCTCGCTTTGTAGCTAGATATGCTAGGGCAATGTTTGCAGCTTAGATGTTGCGCGATGTTGGGCATGTAGTTTTATTCTTTATTCTCACGATGTCGTTATTTGTGAGGTTGAAAGTAAAAAGAAGAGTATGCAGTCAATTTGGTCACAAGGTCTAAAAAGATTGTGTCGTTATTTGCGAGTTGTTATAACCCGGGGTTGTTATACCCGGGGTTGTTATTCACGAGTTGTTGTTATAACCCGGGGTGGTTATACCCGGGGTGGTTATACCCGGGGTTGTTATACCCGGAGTTGTTATACCCGGGGTTGTTATTCATGAGGCTGACTGTACATGTGTTTCGGCGATGACGAAAATTCCCATGGAAACAAGTCTGTAATCTTGTGATTGGCCGATTGAGTTGCAGTGTGTTAGCAGTGGTTCTACTGTTTGGTCACCTGATTGTTTTCTTGCCTGTTTGCTTTCTGCGGATTCAGTTCGTTTTCTTGACATGAGACGATCAACGATTGCTCGAGCGGAGGGAGAACCTGTAGCTTTAATCTGCC